AACATTTTCAGGTGACTTTGAGAAGTACTATTCTTAGCTACATTTGAACCAAGGTCAAGTGTTTCAGTGCAGCACTAATGTCAACAGTTGGCAGTTTATGCACTCACTCTTAAAACCTCTCTTTCTCAAAGAAAGACTACATGCTTTGGATGTCGCAAAGGTGATAGTCCAGTTATTGTGATTATTGTCACATAAAATTTATACACAGGGCCTTGATAGAGTGTGTTACAGTTTATTTGTGCCTGTAGTCCCAGCTACTACTCTGGAGGATGAGGCAGGAGAATCCCTTGAACCCGGGAGGTGGAGGTTGCAGTGAGCTGAGATCATGCCACTGAACTCCAGCCTGGGCAACAGAGTGAAACTCTGGGGAAAGAAAGATAGAAAGAAAGAAAAAAAGACAGACTTTAAAAATAACTTGAAAAGTTTTTAAACTTGATTTTCTACTTTATATTTATTAATTCATGTGGCATCTAAAATATAATGCTAAGTATATTTAAAATAAATTTTATTACATATTATAAAGGCTCTTACATTTCACATATCTAGTTAACATGTCCAGAGCAGTTGGCTTATATGCTTGTAATATATATGATATATAAGTCTTCTGAAATTCCCCTCTCAAGAAATATTTTACAGAATTAATAGGTGATATAGTTCTGAAATATATTCAGAACTTAATCAAAATTGAGTTTTACTAGTTGTGAGAGAAGAATATAGATAGAATTATAAAATTCAAATGAATAATTAATAGCATTTGTTAAGTTAATTCAATAAGAATCTAGCTTAGGACATTTATTCTAATTGAAAACAAAACATGAGTCTTTACGGATTTACAATACTGATGGAAATGACAGTTTTTATATTACATTATTACAGCCATCAAGTCGAGTATAACTTTCAGAGCTCCTGGTTCCAAAATTTGTGATAGTTAAATCATGTAGTTATACACACACACACGCCTAAAGATTTTATCAAACTAGTCTGTAAGCATTTATCTATACTTCAAGAAACTCAAGCTAATCTCACACACTTGAGTAATAATACTATGTGGATTTAAGTCCAAAGATTTATAGAAACATTATGGAGTTGAACACAAAATAAGTAGACTAGAGATTTACAATAACATTAATCAGTCAATGATATGGATGACAAAAAGTGTCATTTTTTTTTGCATCTTTGCTCTTCCTTCCAACAACACAAACAAGTTTAACCATAAGATCTAATTAAACTTCCGTACAGCAAAAGAAACAATTATTAGAGTGAACCAGAAACCAACAGAATGGGAAAAAATTTTTGCAGTCTACCCATCTGACAAAAGGCTAATATCTGGAATCTACAAAGAACTAAAACAGATTTACATGAAAAGAACAAACAAACCCATTTAAAAGGGGCAAAGGATATAGACAGACACTTTTCAAAAGAAGACATTTATGAGGCTAACAAACATATGAAAAAATGCTCATCATCACTAGTCATTAGAGAAATGCAAATCAAAACCACATTGAGATACGATATCATGCCACTTAGAATGGTGATCACTAAAAAATCTGGAGACAATAGATGCTGGAGATAGGATGTGGAGAAATAAGAATGCTTTTACAGTGTTGGTGGGAGTGTAAATTAGTTCAACCATTGTGGAAGACAGTGTGGTGATTCCTCAAGGACCTAGAAATAGAAATTCCATTTGACCCAGCAATCCCATTACTGAGTATATATCCAAAGGATTATAAATCATTCTATTATAAAGACACACGCACATGTATGTTCATTGCTGCACTGTTTACAATAGCAAAGACCTGGAACCAACCCAAATGCCCATCGATGATAGAATGGACAAGGAAAACATGGCACATATACACCACAGAATACTATGCAGCCATAAAAAAGGATAAGTTTGTGTCCTTTGTAGGGACATGGATGAATCTGGAAACCATCATTCTCAGCAAACTGACACAAGAACAGAAAATCAAACTGCATGTTCTCACTCATAGGCGGGTGTTGAACAATGGTCACAGGGAAGGGAGCATCACAAACTGGGGTCTGTTGGTGGAGGAGAGGGGAGGGACAGCAGGGGTTGGGGAGGCTGGGGAGGGATAACATGGGGAGAAATACCAGATATAGATGATGGGGCTGATGGAGGCAGCAAACCACATTGCCATGTATGTAACTATGCAACAATCCTGCATGATTTGCAAATGTACCCCAGAACCTAAAGTACAATAAAATATATATACATATATATATATAAAGAAAAACACCAAATTTTAATAGAAATACCCTGTATACAATACCTAATTTGTATTTATCAAAACTCCCAAAGTCATTATAAACAAGGAAAATCAAAGTAAGTGCAACAGCTAAAAGTATCACATGACATGATTCTGTGAAGAAGGATGTCAGTAATTTGACAGGGATAGTGTCAAATTTGTGAATTGCTTTGGATAGTATGGCCATTTTTACGATATTGATTCTTCCAATCCATAAGCATGGAAATTTTTTTTCATTTATTTGTATTATCTCTGATTTTGTTTTGTGTTTTCCTTGTAGAGATTATTCATCTCTTTGGTTAGCTATACACCTACATATTTCATTTTCTTTGTGGCTGTTGTAAGTGGGATTGTGTTCTTAATTTCACTCTCAGCCTGGATTTTGGCGTATGGAAATGCTACTGACTTTTGTACATTGATTCTGTATCCTCAAACTTTACTAAGGAAATGTATCAGTTTTAGGAGCTTTCTGTTACAGACTTTAGAAAATCTAGTTATACAATCCTAACATCAGTGAAGAGAGGTAGTTAACTTATTTTCCTATTTGAATGCCTTTCTAAATGTAACATGATATCCTGGAACAGGAAGAGGTCATTAAAGTCAAACTTTTTTTTAAAATATGTACTTTTGTTAATAATAATACATCAGCATTGGTTTATTAATTGTAATGAATGTGCCATATTTATGTTAGATGTTAATAAGAGAAAACTCAATGTGAGGTGTATGGAAACTTTTTAGGCTATTTGCTCCATTTTTATGTAAATGTAAAAGTATTCTCAAATTAAAGTTTATTTTTAAGTGGCACTGCATTATGAGATGTTATATTTGGTGTGAAATACTAAATGTTACATCCTAAATTCTGACTGGGCATGGTGGGTTACACATTTAATCCCAGCACTTTGGGAGGCTGAGACCACAGGTTTACTTGAACTTTGGAGTTTGAGACCAACCTAGGCAACATAGGGACACCTTATCTCTAAAAAATATAAAAATAAATTAACCAGGTATGGTGGTGTGCACCTGATATCCTAGCTACTTGGAAGGCTGAGGCTGGAAGATGGCTTGAGCCCTAAAGATGGAGACTGCAGTGAGCTGTGATTATTGCATTGCACCCTAGCCTAGGTGACAGAGCAACATATGCTACCTCACAAAAAGAATTAAAAAAGCTAAATTCTGACTATAAACACAAGTTTCTCTTTGGTTTTACAAAGCTTTTACTTTTGAAATATGAAGCCGTATGAAGCAATTCTTTTTGCATCCATCATGACCATTTTACAGATATGCCACCACGTATTAGTTATTCTGATGAAGTGATAAAAAACAAAGCTTAAGACATCCTATTACATAATCTTATTTTGCTTTGGCTTTTTTTTTTGGCGTATTTTCTTGTTTTGTAATCTTATTGTAAAGGACAAAAAGTCAAGAACAGATGAACTGCTAACAAATCACAAAATGTGTCATATGTCAACACACTAAGTTCAATAGTTGGTTATCAGCTATTCTCTCTGGATTGTTTTTCCACCCATAAATGAACTTTCATTTTACACTTGATTCACAACTCCTGAAGTGATTCAACCCTTAGGCATGCTGCTTTTATTAATAACACAATAATCTGGTTGGAGAAGAGAAGGATATTTCTTTATTTGAAAGGGAATGAAATATATCTGCAAACCTACATGTGTTAAGTTGACATTAAAGGTTGAAAGAAACATATTTTTAAGTCATATGTACATATTTTTAAGTCAACATAACATATGTACATATTTTTAAGTCCATATAACTTATGTACATATTTTTAAGTCAAATGATTCTGTAGTCATTACTTGTTATTTGGTCAGTAAAGAATATCACATAACACCATAATTATACAGTTGAATTTTTCTAAACTTTTAATTTTGTTTTCAGGACTTTGATATCAACATATTTGTAAGATTGCAATTTTTTCCAGACATTTTCCTTATTTTTGTTTTCTCCTTGGGGTAAGGCTCATTTCATTGCCTTAGGTGTTTGAAATGCTGATCTGAAACTCCAGCATAATGAAAAGAAGAAATCATATAGGGAAAAGTTGATAGCTGCTGGCATTGTGCAGTGTTCCATTATAACAAGCCTACAAATCTTTAATGCTAAATTTATGAATGTGTTCTTATAGAGGCATGCAATTATTAAAAACTATCTACCTACCAGTAAGTTGTAAAGGAAAGACTAAAGATTAAGGGTCAGAAAACCTAAACGTTATTTAAAATTTTGTAACCTTAGTCATTTGACCTCTCTGGATACTACTAGTACCCTTGTATGTAAAATGAAAGGGCAGCAAAACGTCATCTCTAAATAACAAATATATTTAACTTCAAAAAATACTGCCCGAAAACATGCCAATATCAGAGACAAAACACAAGCAGTGATTTTTTCAAAAGAAATACGGACTTTTCACAATTTATATCACATAAGAAATAAGGGAATTACAACAGGTGTTGGTTCTGAGGGCCTTGCCTGAGGGTTTCAGATAAACTTATCTAATGACAAACAAGATATCAACTGTCTGAAAAACAGATTTGAAAACATGCTGGGTCTGATAACCAAATATTCAAAGTAAAACAGATTATAAATAAAAAAGACTTCAAATAAATCATAAATAAATTAATTCTGGATGTGTTAGACAGCTTCCAAGATTTTCACCAATGATTTTCATTGAAAATCATTTTATTCCAATGATTTTCACCTCATGGTACTCACCCCTTTAGGTATTCCTCTCCCACATTAAATAGGGTCCACCTGTGTAGTCCATAGTATCTTGCAGAAGTAATGATGGGTGACTTTGAGGCTGGGTTATAAAAGACATGACAGTCCGGCCTTGTTTTCTCCTGGATCACTCATCCTAAAGGAAGACAGAAGCAAAGTCATGAGGACAGTCAGGCAGCCCTCTGGAAAATTTTATGTGGAAAACAACCCTGGCATCTCAGTAGGAACTCCTTGGAAGCAGATCTTGCAGTCCTGGTTAAGCCTTCAGATGACTGAAACCTTAGTAGCTATCTCCACTTTAATTTCATGAGAGATCTTGGGACAGAACTGCCCATCCAAACTGTTTCCAGATTTACACCTATAGAAACTGTACCTTCAGGCAACATGATCTTGGACTTTCCTGCATCCAAGACTGTGAGAAATAAATTTGCTTCATATAAGCCACCCAGATTATATTCTGTTATAGCACTTGAACAGACCAATAAAGCAGCAATAAATAGTCAATGTTTTAGTTATAGGAGCTACTGAGATTGAATTTCTTCACAGAAGTTAAAAAGCATAGAAAGACTCTAGTAAAAAAATGCAATTACTGTGCCTTCTTGATTATATCTGCAGGGTGAAAAAACTGAGACAATTATCAGGGTAATGTAAGTTTGAATTATTAGATTTTTTTCATAATAAAAATTTCTGGACATAAATATTTATCATTTTATTTTAATTTTTCACACACTTCACACTTCCCACTAACAATTGAGTAATTACTCTATTTTCTATAAATGCTACCTAATAGTAATAATCAATATCACTATCTTAGTCTTAATACTTCAGCAAACACAATTCTTCACCAGAATGTAGTCACCAGAGATTAAATGAAACATATTCTCTCTTGTTAATTATTGTAACTTGAGAAACAAGTATGCTCTACTTTTTCCCCAAGATATATATGTATATATATATTTTTATTTAGTGAACTTATTTATTTGATGATAGATATTTTATTAAATATATAAAATATATTTTAATGAATTAATTAAATGATTAAATATATAAATGAATGAAAACATCACTTTGCTATTATTGAATAAAAATTGTTTCAAAACAAAACTGTAGAATATTTTCTTTAGATACTTCATACCCTGGAGAGAGAGAGACAGAGAGAGAGAGACAGAGAGAGAGAGAAACAGAGAAGGAGAAACAAGAAAAATACACACACAGAGAGACAGACAGAAATGAAATACTTTTAGGAATAAATAAATAATTTTTATATGTAGAGATATTTCATTTGTAGAGAAATTATTAGCTGCTTAACTTTAACTTGCCTCTACTACAAATGAGAAAAAGAATAATATTCTGGTTTGCTAACACTTGCATATAAATTATAGTTGTAATTGTAATTGCTCTACAGATAAAGGTGGCCAGATGAGCATGAAAACTGGTAGTGATTTGGGATATATAAGAAAACATAATTATATTTATACCTTAGCTACTTACCTTAGTTCAAGAAAAGTCTAAAGTATATAGATTATAGGAAAGTTGCTATAGTTTCTTCTAGTTGTTTCTTTCTTTTAAATGACCTCCTTTTGTGTCCAGATTCTTTACTCTTTCCTTATTTGTAATTTATAACTGAATAATATTTTGGTGATTTTCATAATGCTTTAGATTAAATGTTTAATCCAATTTTTAGACCCATTTTTCCTAAAGATCTTTATAACTTTGCTATCACAAGGATCTATGCAAACACAATTTCAGATAGCAGTGCTAAGGTATGGGACCAGTTCTGGAAATTAAAGACCTATCACCTTAACGTTGGTTATGACAATCAAATTAAAAAAAACCTTTGGAAAAAAATACATTAATATCTCATTTTCCTGGTAAAATTAAATGATGTTTTTTTATATATATTCTTTGACAATTTCAGAAAAGTTGTCTAAGTAGGTTTTCAATTAAGTTATCTTAAAACTGGAGTCCAAATTACATGCTATGTTAGAACAATTATAAGTACATGTAGTAAATCTAAAAATAATATACTATTCAGTTAATGACAATACAATTGATCCTTGTAGTTTATTTCTTTTATTTATTTAGTGGTGGATTATATTCTTGAATAGTCATCTTGTTTTATGTTGAAGTCTAATAACTATCAAGTTTTCCATTCTTTATCCTGTAAAACTCAGAATGCTGGGAATTTCTTTACTTTTTTCATTACTTGGTGGTTACCTCTCTTCTCCATCATCCTTTATTGTGAAATGAGCCTATTTTCATTGCTCTCATTTTTCTTCTTTCTGAATGTGGTATAGCATTTCTATTAGTCCCTACAGTCTATAAATGTTACCAACAAGAACAAGATAAGTACTGAAAGCAAAGTATACTTTGTGTCTAAAAGATCTTATAAGCATATTAGCTTATTTCACTGGGCTTAATGGTTTTCTTGTTTCAGCCTAGAAATAAGCCTATACGCCCAGAAAGTTATGACTATTTAAATACTTACAATTATGGAAGTAAGGAACAGCAAATTTGAAATAGCCCAATCCATTCAGCAATGCATGTTGAGACTCTGTTACGTGCCAAATAGTGTTCTGGCCCCTTGAAATACATAGGAACCAAAATAGGAAAAGTACCTGCATTAATGGAGCTCCACATTCTAAGAGATAATAGGAAATAAGCAAATTATTTGGAGAAATATGGATAATATGAAGACGATAAACCATTTGGAAAGTGTTCATGTTCTGTATTGTGGTCAGGGGAGATCCAAATAAGGTGAAATTTGAATAGAGACTTGAAATAAATAATAGAGTAGAATGTATATTGCATGAGGGAAAATGGTTGAAGTAAGAGAATAATAATGGTAAAAGTCATAAAACGGGAGCGTGCTTGGCTTTTTCTAGAAATAGCAAGGCAGTCAGAGCATCTGGAGCAGAGTGAGCAAAAAAAGTAGGGTGGCAGACACAGTGAGGGTGGAATGGAGGAGCCAGACTAAGTCGCAGCAAGTCTTAGTCTTGTATTAATGGGCTGGAGAGAAAGCCAGGGGAAGCATGAGAAGAGGAATGGCATCCTTGGCACTGTATTAAATGATTCCTCTGAATTTTGCATTGATAATAGATTTTAGGAAGCAAAACTAGAAGCAGAGAAACCTGTTAGAAGGCAAGTACAATATATCAGCTAAGAAGAGATGGTGGTGCCACTGTACATGTTTTCAGAGAAAGAAGTAAAAATAGTTACACTCTGAATATTTTTAAAATACACAATTATATTTTCTGAGTATCTAGAAGGAAAAAGATGGAGAAGGCTGCAAAAATTTTCTTTTCTAAAAAGACAATAGGATTTAGGTTTTGAACATGTCAAGTTTAAAAGGCACATTCATGTAGAAGAGTAAGCACTTAAGTACATGCATTTTGAACTTTGGAGAGAGGTTCTAGGAAGAAATGTAAAATGTTAAGATGAGAAAAACTATAGCACGTTAGTAAGCTTGAGGGTGCTATCCAATAAAGAGGTAAGAATTCATAATGTAGATGGAAAAGAACTACTGAGGCTATGCCTTTGAGTAGGAAAGAAAGAATGGGATCCAGTAAGCAAGAGGAAAAGTTGATTTAAGGTCTAAGATTTTAGATCCTTAGTAACAGGACAAATAAAAACAGAACATACGGGCACAAAAACCAGAAGCAAGTGACAGGATATGCATGGTGGGAGGAATTCACTCAGGCTTCCTTTGATTGCATCTAGTATTTGCAGTGGTACAAGAAGCAAGGTCTTCATTCATGACGAGGGAAGGATTATTCTAGGCTTGAAGCGAGAGAAAGAGTTGAATTCAGGAGAAAGAAATTGCGAACTATATTAGCCTTTTAAAAATGCACTTAAGAGATAACTTGAAGTTAATAGTACAGAATTCTTAGATTAGGAGAGGAAAGATGCTTCTCTTTTTTTACTCTCCTAGTAGAGTAAAAATATACAACATGTCAGATGAAGTATGCCACTGCAATTTTGATGATTGAATAGATCGAGCTGTTTCAAGGATAAAATTGTCACATGTACATTCCACACAGACTGCAATAAAATAAATGTCTTATCCCAAAAGATCACTAGGACCTTTGTAAGTTTTGAGACCTTGATAGACAAAATCTAGGACACAAAAACAAAAGGCTTCTCCTAAGAGAGAAGGATGGTTTTGAAATTCCAAGGAACTAAAGGTATATTCTCTCTTTGGAAATAAGGATAAATAAAGGTGTGGTTCAAAATTTTCTGGTAGCCTACAAAAACTCTTGGTATGATAATGTAAGTTATATCTTTTATAAATCAACAATTTTTATGAGAAGATTTAGGCTATAGTTCCTTTAAATATAATTTAACCAATTTCATAGGAACTTTTGCAGTATGGTCCAAAGATAGAAGACAACATTTTCTAGCTTAAATTTGACTCTTGTATACACCCAATTTTATTGACTTCCTAAAGCTTCACATGCTTTAAAGGAATGAAAGTTCCTTGGTAGTTAACACAATGATACACCAAGTTATTATTGCAAATATTTGATTTTGTTCCAACTTTACGTATCTACTGTATAAAGTGAAATAGATTTACATTAGGTGAGCAGTTCCACTGAACTGCAAACTTGCAGTAAAATTCATACTGATAAATCAATGTTCATTTATAAAAATATTATAATAGAAATCTTAGTAAGGAATGTAAATTAATAGTCATATGATGTTTAAAGGCTATCAGATTTTCATCTTCTTTGTCATCCATCATTGAATATCAAGATAGTTTTAATAGGCGAGATGATGAATAATTTCTTTTATCTGGAATCTAAACTTTTCCCAAGTGTATGTAACAATATTCAGGTGGTCTCAACTTGATATTTAATTTTACATTTCTGTGATATTCCTCGTAGTAAGATAAATATATTTTTATTTAAATTAATTTCTGTGCTTAAACATACTCTTTGGACTAATGAATGTAACTATAACAATATGTCTGACATATTATTGAAATTGGTATTCATTAGTTTCAAAACTATGATTTATTTGCATCATATCATGGCAGTTTCTTTCCATTGAAAATCATGTAAGTGAATGATGAAGTTTACCAGTTAAATTTATTATGATAAGCTAATGAAAAACTAACTCTTTGGAAAGTAAATTAAT